GTGTGTGTGTATATATATTCTACACACATAATAAATATAGGGATATGTATTATACATGTGTATTTTTTTTCCTGAGCCATATATACACTCTGGCCCTTTGCTTCTAAATACCTCAGTATATATTTTCTAAGAAGAGGGACATAACTGCAGTAATTACCAATTTCAGTGACTTTAGCATTGATGCAATACTTTAATCCATCTGCCATTAGTTTTCCTATTAACCCAATAATGTCCTTAATAACATTTTTTCCTCCTCATGGAAAAGATCCGGTCTAGTATCTCATTTTACATTAAGTTATCATGGCTCTTCATCTGGAATATTTTTTTTATAGCCTTTATGTTTTATGACATTTTTATCTTTGAAGAATACAGTACCCTTTTAAATAAAACAAAATGAAATATTTCTCATTTGGATTGATCCAATATTTCCTCTTTACATTCTTCATTTCCTCGTTTAGATGCTATCTTAGGGAGTCACATCTGGAGGTAAATATTGTCAATCTGTCCCTTATTTGTGATGTTGACTTTGATTACCAGGTCAGGGTTTTGTCAAATTCTCCAATGTATAATTAATCTTTCCTTGCAACTAATAAGAAATATGTAAGAAAACCCTCTAAAATCATACAAATATCTTGTTCCTCATCTAAATTTATTCCTACATTTTGATCCAATCATGCGTCCTGCCTTACCTATTCTCTGCCATTATGGTTGCAAAATGATGATTTTTCCAACTCCAGTGGTTTCTCAACATCCTACCACAGCAAGAATATTTCCTTTTTCTCCATTTATCTGTTTCATTATTGATACTAAAACTTTCTTTTTAAAAATATTTGACCTATTTTTATATGTAGGCTATATTAAAAACTGTGATAAAGATTATTAACCAAAATTATTTCCCTCTGTTAAGAATGAAAAGTCTGATTCCTATAATCCCAGCAACTCAGGAGGCTGAGGCAGGAGGATCACAAGTTTGAGGACAGCTTCAGCAACTTAGTGAGATCCTGTCTCAAAAGAAAAAGGACTGGGATGTAGCTCAATTGTAAAGGATCCCTGGGTTCAATCCCCAGCACCCCCCCCAAAAAAAAAGAAAAGAAAGAAAAATAATTGCCTATAGTTTTATGAATTAATTCACTTATTTGGAAAAAAAGTCTGGTAAATGCAATTATCCCAATTTAGAGAAAAACATGAAAGTAGGCGAAGTCTTTATATTAAGTATAAATGCCTCCCTAATATTGGTGTTATTTTAGCATTTCTTTCTTTTGTTTGTATTTAAAATATTATTTGGATTTCTACACCTTTCTACACGAGACAACTCAAGGGTGCAAGTGTGTGTGAATGTGTGTGTAGAGGGCAGTCCTGTAGCAGGAACAAGAAGGAAGAGCAGAAAGATTAGTTGTGAGCCCCAGATTGATGAGACTCAAGAGACTGCAGGAACACACAGGGCTAGGACTACTTACTGAATGGTGATGAGTACTAAGTACTCCTAAATCCTGGAGGACATCATTCTGTCAATTTCCATTTTTTTTTTCAAGATACCTCTGGGTTATGAGGAATAGGTTCAGTTATATTGTTTTAGTAGTTTAAGAAAAGTTGGTGAGATGTTGGTGGGAAAAAATCAATAAAAGTGGTTTAAACATTTTCTAGTGCTTCAAGATGAAAACCTGATTTATCTAAATATTTAATCATATTCAACCTCCAACAGCCCCTTTTCTAATCCTGTAAGATGAGGCATTGCTGAAATGTTTTTTATTTTTCATTTTAATTTTTTGCAATATGGGGTTAGAACCCAGAGAGGCTCTATCAATAAGAGATATCCCCAACTCTTTTTATTTTGAGACAGGATCTCACTAAGTTGACCAGACTGGCTTTGAACTTGCAATCCTCCTGCCTCAGCCTCCCAAGTAGCTTAGATACAGGTGTGTGCCACCACAACTGGCTCTAAAACTGTCTTTAAAGTTAATATTGAAAAGAATGAGTCTGTGCAAACATTTATTTATACACTAACTGGCTTCCTCACTAGTTGTTTCAGGGAAACATTAATCACCATTAAGTAAATAATTCCCTGCTGATCCACACCCTGCATAGAGTTGCCCCTGTGAGAAGCAGCTTTATTGTAAACCCAAGTGTAAATTGTAAAATTAAAACGGTGCTCATATTTGAATGGACTGTTGATCATCTTCGTGTTTGGTATCTTAATACCTGTGGCAGTCTCTCTTAATTGGGAATCATGGCAGACTCCTCTTGTTTGTTTGTCAGTTCCTATGCATCCTTTTTTTTTTTTCCTACGCATCCTTTAAAAGTAAGTAAATTTGGGGTGTGCTGCTTTGCCTTAAATGAGAACATTTAAAACACAACCAACAAATGTCTTCAAACTGTCTAGCTACCATACATATATATATATATATATATATATATATATATATATATATATATGAAAAAAGA